CAGGACACGCTTCGCAGCGTTCAAGTGCTGAGTAGATGGCGCAGAAAGGAACTGAGAAAGCACGCCCACAGCATGAGAGAGATCTGGGCGGGTGCAGACGGATGCGTACATGAGGCTACCGACAATGCTTTGGTAAAGATTAATGTCGATGGGGGAAAGGAGTGATGAAGGAGGTGCGTTGTAAGAAGAAGGGGATGAAGAGGATGAAGGTGCAAGAGCCTCGTGGAACTCGTCCCAGTCAGAAAAGGGTTCGGTCTGAGAGGGCTGATGGTCAGAAGTGGAAGGGGAAGAATGCTGAAAAGTAGAAGGGAGAGGTGTAGATGCAGGATTGCATGTGAGAAGGCCGAAGCGAGAGAGGACCTTGTGAATGTATCGCTCTTGGGAAAGAAATAGAGAGCGAGAAGGACGGTCACGAATGATGTTCATGCCAAGGTAATATGATGGCTCACCCATGTGTGTCATGACGAACTCCTTAGTGAGCATACCTTTGATGTGGGTGAGAAGGGAGAGAGAACCTGACACCATGAGGATGTCATCCACATACACTATCAACCACAGTACCTGATGCACCTCCGTGTGCAGGATGTAGAGTGCAGGGTCATACTCAGACTGTGTGAAACCTTGTGCCAGCAAGGCAGACTCTAATGCGTGATACCAAACCCGTGGAGCTTGCTTCACGCCATACAGGGACTTGTGCAGCCTACAGACTCTCTCAGTACCATCATGATACCCATCAGGTTGAGACGTGTAAATCTCCTCCTCCAAAACGCCGTAAAGGAAGGCGTTGGAGACGTCCAGTTGAATGATGTAGAGATCCATCCGTACTGCCATGCCAAGAAGAGCGCGGACACTGGTGTACTTGGCGACCGAAGCAAATGTTTCATTGTAGTCTTTTCCAGGAACTTGAGAGTATCCCTTGGCGACCAAACGAGCCTTGAACTTGTCCAGGGATCCATCACCCTTCACCTTCACCCGGTAGACCCATTTCACTCCCACGAGCTTCTTTCCTTTGGGTAATGGCTCCAAATTCCAAGTCCCCCTGTCGAGTAAACTTTCCAGTTCTGCCTTTTCCGCTGCTAACCACTCCTCCTTAAATGCTCCTACCATTGCTTCTTTGCGATTGAGAGGCTCGGGTGGAAGTTGGGAAATGGCGAAACAGGTGGTGTGGATCCTGCATTGGAAGCAGGTGCGACCGCTACACAAATGTGTTGGGGGTGAGCTAAGAGTGGAATACGTCGCATGAGAGGTGAAGTGCGCAGATGACGAAGTAGAAGATGTTGATGGTGCTGACGTGCTCGTGTCTGGTGGATAGTTGATATTAATTTGGTTGGGTGACTTAAGCGGTGCTGCTGGTTGAGAATGAGCTTCTGATGAAGCTCTATTAGTCGGAATTGTCGAATGGAGTTGCTGGATATGGGGAGATGTGTGTTGTTGTGTTGGTGGTGGCTGCACGGTGGATGGTATGAGTTGACGATGATCTGGAAGGTGAAGAAGGGCTGCTGGACGATAGCCGCTGGGCCGATAAACGACGAGAGGTGTGAGTGAAGGCTGGAGAGAGTGAGTGTCGGGAGGATATTGCTGTTGCTGCTGGTCCTGCTGGTGAGTAGGAGGGGATTGAAGAGGAGGAGGTAAATCGGGTGGAGATGGTTGTTGTCGTTGTTTTGATGGAGGCGGTGATGGCTGCCGCTGATGTTGCTCTTGATAATGAGGGGTGGGAGCAGAAGATGATGGCGGTAGTTGTTGGTCTTGAGCATGAGACGCATCTTCGTGTTGCTGCTGCGGTGATGATGCAGGAACTCCACTTAGAATGATTGTTGGAAGTTCGAAATCTGCAAAGGTAGAGAAGGGAGGAACTTGAGAGGAAACAAGAGGGAAAGAAGATTTCCAAGAAGACGGGGACATGTCTTCATAGAAGATCACGTCCCTTGACACAATGTCTCTTTTTAAGAGAGGATCCCACATCAACCAGCCCTTACTCTCCTTGGCCATGCCCAGATGCATGCCCCATGCTGCCTTGCTTTCAAACTTGCTGCGTTTGTCATCCAGCACTTTGTACAGACTCATGCAGCCAAAAACTCGAAGCATGGACACATTTGGCTTTACGCCGTATAATGCCTCATAGGGTGTAACAGTATTAGTAAGGGAGCTTGCCAGACGACGATTCTTGACCCAAGCAGCATGGGTAACAACTTCTCCCCACCATGAGTCATCCAGATTCATGTGGGAAAGAAAACCTCTTGAGATCTCCTAAATCGTACAGTTGTATCTCTCAGCAGTACCATTTTGTTGAGGTGTTGCTGGGCATGATAATTGCTGCTCAACTCCAAGGTTGGTAAGGAAAGAGCGGAATGAGTTAGACATGTACTCTCCTCCACGATCAGAACAAAATATCTTGACCTTGAGACCCAACTGACGCTCAACATAAGGGAACCAAGACTGAATAACACTGGGAGCTTCATCTTTGGATCCAAGAAGAGAGATCCATGCAAATTTTGTATGATGGTCAATGAGTGACATTACATACTTTTTCCCTGTACGACTCGGAGTACGGGAAGGACCCATCAGGTCACTATGTATGAGCTCAAGTGGTTGAGAGACTTCAGACTCAGAAGAATAGAAAGGATGACGAGGGAGCTTAGCTTCAACACAAGTATGGCACGATGAAGGAGAAGATGACAGTTGCTTGGAGATGATAAGACCATCAACACTTGCATGAGCTTGCATGCGTGTGATACTAGACTCTTCAGGATGACCAAAACGACAGTGCCAAGTGTAAAGGGATGCAGATGTTCCAGAGTGAAGTCTTACCGAGGTGGTAGTAGCAGCAGTCGAGGGACTGCTATAGGGCTTGACAGATGGTTGTGCATCAATCTCCACTCGATAGAGACGTCCATTTCGAACACCTCTTGCAATAGGATGCTCAGTTGGAGCACGAACCTGACCAGAACCATCTGAGAAGGAAATAGAGATACCTTTCTCTTCCATTTAACCAATTGAGAGAAGATTTGCCCCTAGTGAGGGGACAAGCAAGATGCCTGAGAATGACATATGGATTCCCTCTGGGCTGAGGAACGTCATTGTGCCCTCTGCTTCAACTGGCACCAAATGATTGCTGGCAACAACCACTTCTTTCACGTTGGAGGGCTGGAGGCCGTGAAGAAGGGAAGCATGAGGAGTCATATGTTGATCACATCCACTATCCATAAACCAAGTCTTGGGGTCCTGGGTAAAGGCATGGAGACAAGAGAATGATGCAAATGCAAAACTCGGTGTATTTGAATGAGTGGAATCTTTCTCATGTGAAGCGGATGGCGTCTGCGAAGTGGTGGCTTGAGGAGGCGCCTCGGGAGTGAAAGAGAGTTGTGGCATAGAGGAAACAGAGACTTGGTTTTGAGATGAGACTTGGGAAGCATTCTGAAAACATGGTCCATGATGCGCGATTACCATCAGATAAACTCCTGCTAAACTCACCCTACCGTGTGGTACACACCTCCCGCAGCCATGTCGGATCTATACTTCTGGGTGCAGGTAGCTGAGTTGTGGTTAGGCCCCAAGCAGGTCCTGCAGCGATAGTTCGCCGGCGGAGCATCCCTGCGCCTGTAGGATGGGGGACGGCCAAGACCCCTAAGCGTGAACGTATGTGCGTCACACACGCCCTGGGGCACAAGTGTTGCCTGTGCCATCAGGGTGTCGATGCAGGTCCCAGGAATGGTGTGGGAGTATGTGCGGCGGAGGTTGACTGTCGTGTAGTAGTCGCTAACATACTCCCACCCGTTCTTGTTTGCCCAGGGGAAAAACGCCATGGCATGTGCGCACGGAAAAGCATACTCTTTCCAATTGCCGCACTCACAGCTACCCTCGCCACGGATGTCGACGATGTAGCTGCGTGGGGTTGGGTCCGTCGCGTTGCCGTTGTTTATCACCTCCGCAAAGAACTCGATGTTGGAGATTTTCACCTCGTAGTTCTTTGCCCGCTCGCACTTCTCCTCATACCGTTTTCTCCCCCACTCCGTAAAGTAGTCATCCCGGGCTCTAGCCTCCTCACGCCGCTCATGAAACTTCTTGACGTTGTAGTCCCACATTGATGCTAACAAATACGCGGGGGGCAGACGCCGGATGGATTTCACGGCCCCGTTGGTCGACTCCGCCATGTTGCTCGTGTAGATGCCGACTCTTCTCGTTGGTGCCGCACATCGAGCCCACTGCTTCTCGTAAACCCAGATTCTATTCCTGCGTGCAGTGTAATCACCACAAAAGCCTGTTCGGACCCGCACACCATCCTCACCGTCCTCCAAGGAGTCCTCTTCCACGACGGTCGCCTCGTCCTCTACAACGCTGGGCATCTCCTTGTTGGTGTTCCCAAGCGCCGTTCCCGGGTCCACGGTGGGAGGAGGGTCACGGGTTGCTGCCGCAGTCGGTGGTGGCTGGCGGGTGGGTGCCGCGGTCGGTGGTGGCTGGCGGGTGGGTGCCGCGGTCGGTGGTGGCTCTCGGGTTGGTGCCTCAGTTGGTGGGGTGACTCCCGGGACCGCGGCTCTCAGAACAATGTTGCCCAAGCTAAAGCACGCAGCTGTTCCTCGCCATCCGCTTGGCACGACGATCGGTGAAGATCGTCGTAGTGGTAGTGGCTCCGGCTGGAAAATAGTGGGTGCCGTTGTTTCTGCATGATGGGCAGCAATAGGGACACGGAGACGGACATTATGGTCGTGTGTTTTGCAGTACCAAATGAGCAGTAACCCATCAATGTAAGACGGCCTCTCATTTACTAGATATTTACACCTCGATGTGAAGATTACATCGTGCATCTAGTTGTATCTACCACACATATAATGTAACTAAAGAACGGAGGGGCGCATTGACAAACCGTTGTTCAAACGAACCTGTTGCTGCAGATGGGTCGTACGGAGTGGATGGTGACGGCGTTGCGGATGGTCCATCATGAGTGGCCGGGCGAGGGGTTGCAGAGGGCCTCCGCACCACGGGTGGGCTTGGCGCAGCGGACAATGCTGGTGCAGCGGAAGGGTGGGTCGCAGAAGCGCATGACGGTGTTGCGGATGGGCGTGGCGCTGCGGACGGCCCTAGCGCTGTATGTGGGCTCGGCGCTGCGGACGCTGCATGTGCAGCAAATGGGCGGGCCGCAGCAGCGGGCGACGGTGCTGTGGACGGGCGGGGCGCTGCGGACGGCCCCGGCGCTGCAGATGGGCTCGGCGCTGCGGATGATGCAGGTGCCGCGGACGGGCGGGGCGCAGCAGCCGGTGACGGTGCTGTGGACGGGCGGGGCGCTACGGACGGCCCTGGCGCTGCAGATGGGCTCGGCGCTGCAGATGATGCAGGTGCCGCGGACGGGCGGGGCGCAGCAGCGGGTGACGGTGCTGTGGACGGGCGGGGCGCGGCGGACGGCCCTGGCGCTACAGATGGGCCGGTCGCTGCGGATGATGCAGGTGCCACGGACGGGCGGGCCGCAACAGCGGGTAACGGTGCCGCGGAGTGGCGGGGGGCTGCTGAATGCCCAGCCGCCGCGGCATTCGGTGGTGGGCGTCTTGCGCCGCCCTGTCTCTGTCGGCGGCCGCTTCGCTGCGCCTGTGCCTGGCGTGCACGCCGCCGTGCTTCGGCCGCAATGTTGTTGGCGGTCGCACGCGTCCGGCGTGTTTGCTGAACGTTGCGGCGGCGAATACGAAGGCCAGCTGGTGGACGGGGGTTTGGCACCGGCATATCGACCACAGGCGCCGTACCGTAAAGGTAAGTCGTGAGCAAGGGATGTGATTCCCGTGCACCGACCTTGAGCTCGTTGTACTTGTCCAAAGACCGGGCTGTCAAAAGCCGCCATAACATGTCCGCGGAAGTCTTCCCGAACGGCTTCACGTTTGCTGCATGTGCCACCCACAGAAGTAATGCGCCACCTTCTCAGGGAACACTTCCTTCACCGCCGGGATGAGACCTTTGTCCCGGTCGCTGATGATGGCCGCGTCGTCCCGTCCCTGCCAGTCGGAGCAGTGCTTATCAAAGAGTCGGCAAAACCAAGTCCATGTGTCCTTGGTTTCGCTCTCTACGAGCGCCTACGCGATGGGGATGATCTGCTGATTGCCGTCCATCGCGTTGGCGTACAGCAGAGTAGCCTTCTGTGCACGGATCGGAAAAGTCCCGTCCATTGCGATGACAAGCCTGCACGTCTTCAGTGATTCACGTGTTGCACTCGGCGCCATGAAGAAGCGGAGAAATTCGTGGTTGTAAGTCAAAAGCTCCACGGTTGCTCCGCTGTCGATCTGCCGAATGCGCTCTTGCACCGCCGGAATGTAGCGGAATGACTCGCAACAGTCCCCGAATCGCTGCGCCGTGATGCCTACCTTCAGCCTGCGTGGGTGGAATGTATGGGTGGTATCGGGACATGAGTAAAGTGGAGGCAACACAGCCGCTAAAAGAAAAACTCCCTTGATGTTCGGACTATGACGGGTGGACGCTCACCGGTAGGCGTTGTTGTAAGTTAACCTTGGACCGGAGCAGGCCTGAATCTGCCTGGCGTAGTCCCAAGGGGCGTTGAACGGCGCTGCACGGACGAAGTTGCCGGATTTCCGCCAAAGGTACTTCCTCTTACGTCCCATACCCGGCCACCACCGGTTCCGGTATACACGGTCGCATGTGTGCTCTGCGGGATCAGACAGCTCAACGATTCGCCACGGTCCGTTCCGCTCGAGACGAGCGTAGCTGCACCGCCATGGGCAAGGGGGGTCCAACCCAAGCTTCTGACTCTTGCACAACGCTAGCGCTGATGCCATTCTGGATGACTTCATGTAGAAACCGTATTTATGCACGACCGCATCATCAAGCAAGGCAAAGAGGCAATGATCCCGCGAGGAGTACCAGTTTGTCAGAATCCCAACCACTAGACCATTGGGATAAAAGGGCTTGTTTCAGTAGCGGGTCAGTGCGCCCATAACCCCCCAGGCGAACGCGCCTGTAACCCTCTCCAGGATCAATCGGGCATCCACAGTGCATATCTACTGACACCCCCCCACACTGGGAGGCCCAGGACTAAGCACAGTGGCAACGGCCTACTTGTGCATACACCGGGAATCGAACCGGAGACCGCTCTGATACCATGTCAGAATCCCAACCACTAGACCATTGGGATAAAAGGGCTTGTTTCAGTAGCGGGTCAGTGCGCCCATAACCCCCTAGGCGAACGCGCCTGTAACCCTCTCCAGGATCAATCGGGCATCCACAGTGCAGATCTACTGACACAGTTACCCTCCTGAATGGCAGCGTTATCGTTGATCGTAGGCCCCTCCTCGGGTTCAAACTCTATGTCGAACTGCTCCAGTATAATGTTGTACATGTCACGGCCATTAGCTGGAGGTTCCTCCATTGTGACACGGATACAACACCTCGGTAATCCACTCGCAATATATAGATTGTCATCTACTGCCTGGGTTTTTTAACGGCGAGACGCGAGCACATGTTTACGACATGTTTAACTGCATCTGGTGTTGGAGAATGATGGACTCGGAATTCCTGACACTTCAGACAAGAGCTAGGAACAATAACAATTCATTTGTCAGTCCCCGGTGGCATAATCCTGGTAGTGGTTGCCACCAGTGCGTCTCGTCAGAAATCGCGGCGACTGAATTGTGTTATGATCGCTGGCGTGTTTATTACCAGATTTTGAACACATTATACCCAATCAAGCCCAGACGAGTGGCATGTATATGAAAAAGTGGTACGATAATTGCAAATATGAACGGACCGTTCAGGAACTCGCGTAGCCGCTGCCAACACACCGATACGCATGCTTTCTTCCACGACGTGTCGGTCGCAAGTACTTGCACGTGGAAGCTAGTTCAGAATGAGCGAATTCAGCCGAGTCGCCCGACACATGACGTATCTGTAGATGCGCCTGGCACGCCCGAAAGAATGGTTAAATAACACTGGCCAGTCCTGTGACGCCACGTTCAACCCCACAAGCCACCATTCCCCCACTGTTGTGAACCGAAACAGATTGCCGAACCTCGATGCGCCACAACCTAACCGAACCGACCTCCACACTGTCAGGAGAGAAATGCCCAATAGGATGACACTGCGTGGCAGGGAAGTTCGATGTCAACCAGCAAACTGCCCACCGACAATTTGGGACCCACCTAAAAAAACCATCATGTTGTTTAAATGAAGCTAAATCTGGAGAGCGCGTACCGCTCGCGATAGAAGGTGGATGGTGTGTCTTTCGGGTTGTGGAAAAAATTGAGCGCGATGAAAAAAATTCACGAGGGCAAAGCCCGCGCCGCGGCAATTCTCTCCAGGATAAAGCATGACAGTCGGCCTAACTTCCCTAACCTATCATTTTACAACATCCCGCCACCGCTATTTCCTCACTACCAGACACCATGGAGTCTCTTACACCCATTCATGACCTTCCTGACAACATTCTCACAAGGATCTTATGGCACTCCGAGCAGGCCGTGTCTACAAAGTCGGACACCGAAGCCTTATGGGACTTCGTTTCCATGAGTCCGACCCCAAAGTATTTTTTTGCGAACCGTCCCGTTGAGCCCATTCGTAAAAGACGACTTACCCCACTACCGACTCCTCTTCCGTCTGCAAATGCTCACCGCATTCTCCTAATCTCGTCCGTCTGTCGTCGCTGGCGAGATCTTTCCCAGCGATACGTCTCCACACTCCTTGTTGCCGAAAATCTTGCCGTTTCTCGCCAAGATCTCGCGAATGCTGTCGTTTTTTTTTCAAACCTGACCCACCTGCATTTGTGCGACGGCAGCGTGGAAACCTTAGACGATGCGTTCCTGGCTCACCTCGCCTCGTCATGCCCTACGCTGGCGGTGTTCCACGTGGGAAGCAAAATCGTGCCGGAGGTCAAACATAGTTCGTCGCGCGACTCCAGGAAGCACGAGCACCCAATCACAGATGCGGGTTTGGAAAATTTCTTCCGGCAGTGTTCTCGCCTGGAGCAACTTTCGCTGTACTGCCTCCATCCAGATGCTGAATTACCCGCTTCCTTCTTTCAACTGACTCGTCTGCATACTCTCGCGCTCTCAGTCTCCTCCTTTCTCGTGTCACCCGATCTTCCGAACCTGATATCTCTTAACAACCTCGATATTTTCTCGTGGAGTGTGACTTATGAGCAGATTCTCAACCTTTCCTCTCTCCCGAGCATCACCTCCCTTTCAATTTCTGACAATCAGGGTGTTCGCAGGCAAGATCCCACCTCTGCTAAATTCGACCTCTCGCAGCTGCTTCTGCTCAAGTCGTTAAGAGTAGGTCTACGCCTGCCTTTAGCATCTCCGTGCTCCAACATTGAAAGGCTGGAAATCCTGAATACGTCGCAAGATAGACTTCCGAGTGAGCTGGAAGAGCTGCTGCCGGGCCTCCGTGAGCTGACCTTTTCTCAATTTTCATTCTTCTCTTCCGAGCCTCAGCATGTCTCTTCTTTCCCTCTAACTTCTCTGAGGCTCCTACAAAGCTTGACGGTTTCTGCTTGTTCCAGGCCTTTCAGCTTGCCCAGAAATTTCGGAGGGCTGCTGGCATTGAAAACATTGGTCCTGCATCGATTGGGTCTCTCTGACCTCCCTGGCTCCCTCTGTCAGCTACCCTTTCTTGAAACATTGTGCCTGATACAATGCACAAGCAACAGGGAGGAAACCCTCCAGCTTCCAGCCCGTTTCTGCCGCCTCTCTGCTCTACACACCCTCTGCATCGCGCATATGCCTCGCTTGAGGATTCCAGAGAATTTTGGAGAGCTGCCCAGACTTCATACCGTTTTTTTCAACAAGTTGTTCCCACATCTGACGTCTTCATTCACGCAGCTCTCATCTCTCACACGGCTCAAACTTTACAGGCTCACAATTCAAGAGCTTCCAGACAACCTTGGGATTTTGACTAATCTGCGGGAATTCCACATCCGTTCGTGTCCCCTACTCCAGAAGCTTCCAGAGTCTTTGACAAGCCTCACGAGCCTGGAAACCCTGCTGGTTGATGACTGTGCTGAGCTCGTGTCTGTGCCAAGAGAATTAGAGAGCCTCAAGAAGCTTAAGTGCCTGGAGCTGACTGGGAGCCTGCATCAGATAGAGCCTCCAATGTTTCTGCCGCTCTCTCTCGAGGTGTTAAGCCTGGGGAATAGTTACCACATTAGTGATCTGCCGTCTCCTTGCTGCCGAGGCTGAGAAGGCTGAGCCTGAAGCTGGTTGGTGCAGAGGAGGGATTGAAGAGGGCGCTGCATGGAATGACATTGGAAAGTGAGCTGCCTGGAGTGACGCTGTCCAGGCAGCAACGTGGATTGATGCTGTTGAGGAATCTGCATGGAATCACACTACCGAGGGATCTTCTTGAAATAGCAATGGCGAGGGAGCTGGTGGGTCCGAGGGAAATGGCTGTCAGCAGCAATTTTCCCCATCTGAAGCACCTGGAGTTGACCCTGAAGGATGATGCTGAGGAGCTCCCAGTCTCCCTATCGCTGCTCCCTCAGCTGCACACGCTGGTGATTTGGCAAGGGGGGAAAATCAAGCAGCTTCCGAGTGACCTGGGATGGGCTCTGCGGCAGCTGAGGAACCTGCGGATACACAATGCGGGGGAATTGAGGCAGCTGCCTAATAGCATCGGCGCCTTGACTCGGTTAGGCCAGCTGAACCTGTTTGACTGTGATGCACTGCAAGAGCTACCTGCTTCTTTCACCCAGCTGTCATGCCTTCACGAGTTGACGGTCGAAGGGAGTGCCATTCGCTCGCTCCCTTCAGGATTTGGCCAGCTGACCAGGTTGAGGAAACTCAGCTTGGCTGGCTGTGAGCAGCTGCAAGCTCTGCCAGAAGACTTCACAGAGCTGAAAATGCTGCAGCATTTGGTCGTCTCGATTTGCAAAGTAATAACACCTGAGATTGAGGGGATGTATGAGCTGAGGATCGGAACAGGATAGGAGTGCTTATACGAGCTGGTTTTGTTCCATGAATGGAAGATGTGTATGATGCTGAATGAATTTACAGTACCGGTACGATATGATGTTTTATACCGTAGTACAGTACTCCTCACGAATGAACCATCAATGAAACGTCAGTCTAGGGCACACATATTGTTAGCATGAAACAGCAGTGAAACTAATTCTGGAATCTTGTTTTTGAGAATAGTTACGAAGAGCTGCCGGATTGGGTAGTCAGGTTGTACAAACACTCACAAAGCTCAACAATGAACCGCCAAGCTCAAAACTTGGAACAGTAATCAGCTGTGTGAATGAAAGGGGAAGCTGCTCCTGCATGCAATTATAGAAAGCCTTATCCAAACGCAGGCTACGCAACTATCGTCAGTGTAGACATTCTCCTATACAGACCTCCGGGTCGCCGTATCTCTTCTCGGTCAGCCAACCGCCTGCACCCTTCAACATTCAGGTACTGCAGCATCTTCAGCTCAGTCACATCTCCAGGAAGAGCCTGCAGGTGGTCACATAACTGCAAACATAGAGTCTTGAGCCTGGTCAACTGTGCAAAATTGGGAGGGAGGGAGCGAATGGCAGCGGCTTTGATCGCCAGGCTGCGAAGGCATGCAAGCTGCGTGAGGGAAGCAGGCAGATGCTCCAAGGCAGGGCAACCAAACAAGCTCAGGCTGCGCAGCCGAGACAACGCACCGATATCGGCTGGAAGAGAGACTAGACTCTCTGCAACTAAAACCTCCAGCTCTGACAGATTCTGAAGCTCTGTGACGGAATCTGGCAGCGCCTTCAGTTCTGGAAAGCAGTGTATCCGCCCGATGGTTTCTGGCAGCCTCTTGACCCTCCCAGCCCTTTGAATCTTCAGGGTGCGAAGCTGAGGGAAGGTGGATAAGGGAAAGGGCAGGTTCTCTGTTTCTCTTGCGAGAAACAGTTTCAGGTGCTTCAAATGCGTCATGCTGCTGCTGATTGTCACTGCGTGCTCCTCTGCATGCGCGAGATTCAGACCCAACTTCGTCAGCTTTGGCAGCTCCGCGATATCAGGCAAAGGGATGCTGTCCTCGCCGTTCCCAAGGCTTACGGCTTCAAGCGAGGGAGGTAGACTTTCAGGAGGCACTTGCAGCTGGTCACACTCTGTAATCTCCAGCCGCTTCAGCTTCACCAGGCTTAACAGGTTTCTCGGCACCGAATAGAGCTCCTCACAATCCTCCACTGTCAGCGCCTCGAGATTGGTGAGCCGTGTGATGGTATCAGGAAGCTTCCTGATGTTGGGGCAGAAGCAGAGATGCAGCTCCGTCAGGTTACGCAGCTCACACACGTTCTTTGTAAGATCGCGGAACATGCACCCATCAAGCTCCAATCTCCTCAGGGAAATCAGCCGGGTGTATGTAGACGGCAGCTGCTTTCCAGTGTCGTCCTTCAGGAGAAGAGTTTGCAGGCTGGTGAGCCTTCCAAGATCCGCTGGAAGCTTGAAACGCGGCATTTCCAAGAGACACAGCGTCTTGAGACCTGGCAGGCTGCAGAAACCTTCTGGAAAACGGTGGATTCTTTGACATTTAATCAGGAAGAGAGACTCTAAGGACGCGGCTTGGCAGAGGGAATCAGGGAGGTATTCGAGAGGCAGTTTATGCAGCACGAGAGTGTTCAGCCGGGGCAGACACCCAAGGTTTTCCGGTAGAATGAAGAGTTGGTTGCACTTGGCTAATGTCAGACTCTCCAGATGTCTCAGCGAGCTAAAGCCGTCTTGCGGTAGCTGGGTGAAGGATTTGCAGTTGCAAATGCTCAGTTTGCGGAGGCAAGGAAGGGAGTTCCCTGTGCCATCTGGAAGGGCCTGCAGCGAATCGTTATCTGCAATTAGCAGCTCTTGGAGGTGTATGCAAGGCGAGCCGGGAGGAAACAGGAGGTGGAATTTAGGGCAAGAGGCATTGACTGTGAGGGACTTCAGGCACGGAAGCTGCGAGATGGAAAAGGCTGAAGATGGCTGATCGTTCTGAAATTCGAGGGTTGTACAGGTTATGGAAAGGCATGTAAGCTTCGGAAGGTGAACGAGGTTTGAAAGATGGTGATCCGTCAGTACTGGGGAAAGGATGTGGAGAGTAGCGAGAGACGCAAGGTTGGCGAAATGGGGGGATTCGAGCGCTGAGGTGTCTTGTAGCAGGACGGTGTGCAGGTTAGTCAGATGAAAGAAGGAAGCGGGTAGTTGAGCGTTCTTGTGGAGGCATAAAAGCGAGAGATGCTCAAGGCGAGTGCACTGCGAAAGGAAATGATCCAAGCCTGCTTCGGTGACCGGATACTCGTCTTTCGCCCCGCCATTGTTCGTCGGTGTGATTCCGCTTCCCACGTGCAGCGCCGTCAGCTTGGGGCATGCAGAGGCGAGGTGAGAGAGGAAGGCATTATCTAGGGTTTCCACGCTACCGTCGCACAGATGAAGGCACGTCAAGTTTGGGAAACTAGCGATAACATTTGCGAGATCTCGACGGGAAACGGTCAAACTTTCGCTAACAAGAAGCGCGAAGGTGTGGTGCTTCGCGAGTCGGCGCCATCGGCGGCATACGGACGCGATGACGAATGTGCGAGCAACATCTACGCATGTTGGCGGATTTAGTAGAGCGGTTTTGATTTCGTAATCGGAAAAAGAGGCTTCTTCTAAATTGTGACGGGAAAGGTACTTAGGCTTCTGTTCAAATTGTTCCCATAAAGAGTCCACTAGCAGATACGCGAAAAAACGGTTCCTTAACGGAATAAGTCAAAATGGCGACGAGAAGGTCGTCAGATAGCTGGTTAATGCCCGTTGACCTAACCGTTTGCGAGCTAATAACAGCGGCTGAGTCCGCCATGGCGAAGTTGACGATTTAGAAGCTGATGAGAGCTTGGTGAAAGCACTGCGGGCAAATGCATACGACTGATCGATCTAGCAAGGTGCTGGGTCAAACCTAGTTGCTGCTTTGCTGGGCGTGAGCGTGCTGCTGGATGGTTCCCCTAGCTGGCAAAGATGAGACTCGCTACTACGAATCCGGCTTAAAAAGATGCGATCCAAAAAATGTACATTATCACTCACACACAAACCTACTTTGTTCCAAAAATATACATGCTTAGGGCGCTTCACCTGAGGGGCGGAAGGCCAAAATCCGAACCGACGTATCAGTTTGACTGTACGAACAGTATCCCAAATGCGTTCGAACACAAATACGTACAATGAGCGAATGTGACACAGGCCATCACAGGTGACGCCATCGCTATTCGCACACGCGGTCTGTTCGAACACAGCGACGTCGCCCACAAAAGAGCGACGTCGCCAAACATTGGGTCCCTCGCTTGTGTGTTTTCTCGAGCGACGTCTGGCCGGGTCGCAAACGTTCATGGGCGACCCGGAAGACTGTGGACCAATCATATCAGTCGTTTGTGCGGAATTGTGTGTCACCTATCCCAACCTGTTCGAACAAACTTGTTCGAACGTGCGGGATGATGAAAATCGTGCTTGAGGTGACAGCTCTGTTCAAATTGGCGAAATTGTGCTTCGCGACGTCACGATCACCACTACGAACATAGGCGAAACGAGTAACGTTTCGCCTGTTCGAACGAGTGTGTTGTTCGAACCGACAGGTGAAGCGCCCTTATGCAAATTGCTGTACAGTCTAGCACAGACCATGCAAAAGATGCATATTTTGTTAGCTGCGAATAGTAGACCCTGTTACTTGCAACCGCAGGATTAAAAACGATTGATTTCATTTTGTATTAGAATGAATAGTCAAGTCCCAATCGGGTACATGATGCATTAAATTTATCAACTTCCACTTTGGTGAGCACTCAGCTCAGCACTAACATACTTGGCGCCACCATGTACAACACCTTGAGGAGTTGAAAAGGCAGCGGGCTGCCACTCCTGAAGACCCTGCAGCAGTCCAAGCAATGCCCAAGTCTACCATACCCACCTCGAGGCCTGTCTGTTGTGTGCCCCACAAACAGCAAGCACTGTGCGTCCACCACCAGGAGAGAATAGCGAGCACCCAATGGCCTGGCCTTGAAGAATTGAGGTGGTGAGACAGAAGCTGGGACCTTTGTGGTGGCACTGGTGGTTGTCGCGATGGAGATGGGAGAGGGAGAGGGGAGCAAGGTAGAACGCAGCCGGCGGACTCTCATGTTGTTTCTTGGGCTTAGGGAGGGTAGCAAGGAGTAGACCTGGCAGGAAAGAGGGTGAGGAAAAAAGAGGTATGGAGGATCAAATATATTGCGAGGGGGAGGGGGGAAAGA